ATGGGCTTCATAATTTCTTTCAGAGAGATAAGAAACTTGAAAGAAAAAAACATGGATTGCATTATATAAGCTCTGGCAGGAAATAACTTGCTGAAAAGTCTAATTTTGTATAGATTGTTTTGGAATCAAAGCTATTATAGAAACTTAAAGATCAAAATTAAATCCATAATAAACTATAAATAAATAATTTCAAATGTTAATATATCATGAGAAATAAGATCCTTAAATAGGAAGGATTTCCTAAGGATAAAAAATTTTTGTTAGGAAGAGGTAGTTTGGTGGATCTGTGACGTGCTAACAAGATTCTGATTTTGACTTCTCTTTTCCTTGTTAACCTTTGCAACTCTTTCCTTGGTCTTCTCTATTCTTTTGTTCGTTTAGTTTATAATCATATTGCTTTTCTCCAGAAATGCATTATTTATTTTTCCTTGACATATAATTGTCACCTATCTTACTTTCATTTCTTCCTTCCATCTTTTTTACTTTGCCTTAATAAGTCACAAATGAAACAGTTGTTTTATGATGAAGCAACAGTTTTATTGAAAGAGATGAAATATAGTTAATTAAAATATTAACCAGATCCCAAAAATATTTATTTTCAAGAGTATGTTTAAATTTTGAGCTCTGAGGTGATACACTGCAATATTTTCAGATTGTTTTTAATAACTATTTTGTTAAATATATTCTATTCTGTTAAATATATTCTAGCTGACAGGCTGAATAGAAAGTTGAAATGTTTTTGACCCTCTTTTGAAATCACAAATATTTATAAAATGTTTTCTTCAGGGTAGAAAAATTACTAATGATAAAATTTTTTGTTTTGCAACATTTTATTTTTCAAAGGAGATTTTTAAAAATCTCCTCCAAATCATAACTATAAGAAACAATCTATAGTTGTACCAATATATATTGAGTGGTATTGGTTAAAAGATAAACAATTTCTAAGAAAAAAGTTTTATTTCCTCTCATTGATACCCATACTTAAGAAAACAGTAGCATAGGGGTGCCTGGGTGGCTCGGTGGGTTAAAGCCTCTGCCTTCTGCTCAGGTCATGATCCCAGGGTTCTGTAATTGAGCCCCGCATCGGGCTCTCTGCGCAGCAGGGGGCCTGCTTCCCCCTCTCTCTCTGCCTGCCTCTCTGCCTACTTGTGATCTCTGTCAAATAAATAAATAAAATCTTTAAAAAAAAAGAAAACAGTAGCATAATAAAATAGGGTTAGAAGTATTTGTCTGCCAGGGTAGTTCTGAATATAAATTTAGGTAATTCTAAAAATAAAGTAATTCAGTTACTAAGGCAAAAAAAGCAAGGAAAAATGTTTGCTTAATCTGTGCCATTTTAATTCAAATGAATATAAAATGTATCATGAGAGAAAGAGGAAATCTACCTTAGCCATTCCATAAATGAGAGCCTAAAGTTTAATGAAAAGACCTGAGAGAGAATTTAATAGTACTGAGCATTTTTTTATTGATATGTCTCTAGAAAGCCCCTGAACCTGTCTAGACCTAAGTTCAAATACAGAAAACATACCGTCTCTTCTCAGATTTTTTCACAAATCTATAATAACTAAAGAGAAGTGTGAATACATACACCCAGTGATGTAGACACCTAACTTAATGTGGCTTTTACAAGCCTAAAATTTCTTTCAAGTTTTATATTTTATTTTGAAAATTAATATAAAGTTGGCTTTCTACTCCAAAATCTACATTTCCTTTAATACAGATAAAACATTTACAACTATTTATTGGCAGGGGAAGTGAGGGTGAGATGGAATAATTTTCTTTTATTTTTTTATCTGTATTTTTTTTTTTTTGAGATGGGATAATTTTCTACCTTGTTAACAGTGGAAATGATTTTATAGTGAGTTTGGATTTGGAGAATTGTTCTAAATCAAAAGTAATGAACAACCCGTATTGTATTAGCATCTAGGCAGTTTCTTTTGTTGCAGGATATTTCTAGAATTCAAGCTCTTATAAAAATGGTAAATAAATATAGCAGAGTCATTTCACTGCTTTATAGGCTACATCCTGGTAATTAATCCTTGAGGATAGATTCCTGTGTAATTAATCTCTGACAAAAGATTTCCAGGAGGCTGCAAAAGAGGTGATACATTGCAATATTTTCAGATTATTTTTAATAGATATTTTGTTAAATATATTATAGCTGACAGGCTGAGTAAAAATTGAAATTTTTTGACCCTCTGACTTATGCCTTTTGAAATCACAATGAAATACCTATAAAATGTTTTCTTCAGAGTAGAAAAACATTAATGATAACATTTTTTGTTTTTGCAACATTTTAATTTTCAAACTTCATAAACTAATAATCTCAACCAGTCATAACCCCTACAATTCTTTACATCCAATTCTCAAACTTCATTTATATTGCAATAATCCTATATGTGATAAAGGCATCTCTTAGTTACTGATGCAAAATGTTTAACCTCATAGACAAATATGGATAAAATTAGCTAATGATGTAGGATATAATAATTATCATGAAGAGTAAAGTAATTTATCTAATCCAAATGCTAATCTTTTGTGATTACTTTTAACTTCTTATCAAAGAAAAATAATCAGGCATTTGGGTTAGCTATGAATTTCTTTTATTTATACTACTCCATAATTGATGATTAAGGGTTGACTAGAATAAATGAGAGTATTAAACTAAAATCTACTGAAGTTACTTTTCTCTAGTTTTCATATTTAATTTATGAGACGAATCTTTTTTGAATTCTTTCTGAAGTTTTTCAGTATTAGCTATTATACCTGGTTCAGGGACCACAAAAAAATCACGTAACAGTTGAATTACAGCCACTTCTGGCTTTGATAACAACCACATGGTTTTCTAAAGTTGTTTCTTATGACAGTTTCAAATTTACAAAGTCAGATTTATATACAGAAAATTGATGTCAAGCATTGGACAGATGAGCTTTCTGTTCCCAACATCTTTTTTTAAGTTGGTATTATTTTTAAAAATAATAAAAATAAAAATAAATTGGTATTATAGTCTGTTTTTCACATTTAGAGTTAATGGGTGACTTCTTACAACTCATTAAGTTTTTGTATTTGCACTTGCATTTGGAACTGAAATGGTTCAGTGAAAAAATTTTCCCATAAATAAATATAATAACATTAAATATCTTACACCGAAGGAGAGACAGATAAACACACAAGACAGAGACACATATACATATACATCTTATAAGCATCAATTTTTTTCCAGCGCATTTATTTCCAGGCCTATAGAGGGAAGTCAGGAACTGTGGATGTTTTTCCTAGATCTTTCATTAACAAATAACCTTGAAGAAGATACCTCATGTTGCTGGAATTTGTGTAATTTTAACTCTTCTGGAAATAAAAGACAATTTAGAAAATGGTGTTCACTTGTTAACAATTCTGAAAATCTTCAGTTTCTAAAAGTTCTCAGAAAGGAGCATGAGGCGTTAGACTATATTTTTAATAGGAAATTACCTACTTTATCTTTATAATCAGGATATTGTGAGTCTCCACTTAAAATGGGAAATTGTTTTGATATAAAGATGTTCTCTAAAATCAAAGAAAATAGCACAAGAGAAAGAGTAGATATTATAAGTTCACTGCCCATTCAGAAGCCCTCTCTTATAGTGTTGCTATTCTAATTAGTATTAGACTAAGAAGTATTGACTACGAAGAATAAGAATTGATGATTATCTCTTGGGTATAACATTTAGCTAGTGCTGAAGAATTAATAAAACTTTATCAAGTAAAACCAAAAGTTGACATAATTCTTATATACCAAGATGCTTTTTTTTTTTTTTTCAAAATAAAAATTCAGTTTTCTCAGTGTTATTCTTAAGCAATCTCCATATGCTATCAGAGAGATCCTAAAAGGGATAAGACAATCTATACCCTGTCTCTAGGAAATGTAATTTTGTAGCATGGTCAGGTTTCTTATTTTTCCTGAGGATTTTAACACTTGGAACCTGGCATCACATTATCACATTGACGCTTCCTCTCTGTCTTAAAAAAAAACAAAAAACAAACAAACAAACAAACAAAAACCAGGACCATCACAGGTAACTTGACCTATGTTGGTCTGAATGGAAACCATCATTTTTCATGTGTAGGACCCATGGCATAGAAGCGCTTGGTCTGAAGCTTCCTCACCCTTCTTCCCTACCTTTTTTGTTTGTCTTCCTCTCTAACCAAGTATTAGTTCTTATTATAGCTCTGTGAAAAAGCAAAAAAAAGAAAAATATTCTAATTTGTATCTCATCTAATAAAACACTTGGTGTTGAGAATCTTCCGTTTCTCTTTTATATAGTGATGTGAAACCAGTTTTTAAAATAGTAGTTCCACTATTAGTTTCCCCTATCTTACCCAAGAGGAAAATTCAACTGAAATAAAAGAAAGTTTTGAGGGAGCGAATGTATTTAACATTGGTCTGGCATTAAAATTTTCTGGTTGGGCAGCACGATTGTTTAATTGGGAATCTCAGTGACAGCTGAACAACCTCAGTGCTTGGATCAACAAGCAGAGGAGCTTCACTCTGTCACTTTTCAAGAATGATGCTTGTTAGAACTGATCTTTCCTCTAAGAGAACACTCATGTTTTAGTCATACCATTGATGTTTTCTGATATTACAACAGAATAAACACTATAACACTTTAAGAGACAATGTTCTCTGCATAGATTTATTTGTAATTCTTTGTTCTTCGTAAACCAAATGCAAATGTAACACTACTCCAGATACTGCTACATCAGAAGTCCCCAAGATAACCAAAAGTAAGTCCCCATTTCCTAATCTCAGGAATAATGCTATAATAAAGACAATTCTAGTGACTAGCCTATTTGCAGAGCATGTCATATAGCCTCTGGGTTAGTTAACTCCTTGGCTTCCTAAGAGATTCCTCAAAGAGTCAAATGATGTTTTTGCATGTTTTACTTACTAATGTGTAGAAAAATTTTTAAGTTCACTTTTTCTTTATTCTGTCTTTTTTACCCATCTTCCCTCATTGTAGCAAATTAGACGGCCGGATGAAAGCAAAGGAGTTGCTAGTAGAGTTGGATCCCTCAAAGTAAATATGTTTCTAACATTTTTTGGCAAGATTTCGTCTATAGCCTACACTTCTTCCTTTTTGGAGGGTGGTGGGAGGACGGGGGCTTTTTCCATTTTTCACCATCCCATTTTTTTTATTTTAATATTTTTATTGGCTGTTGGGTCATATTTTTTTGTTGTTGTTTGTTTCAGCTACACATAGAGCAACCAGCTGAAGGCAAGATGCCAAATAACTAGCTTTGAATGGCACCACCAACAAGAGAAAGGGCAATTGTCTCATTACAGGTGCCTATAATTTGGGGTTCTAGAGTAAACCGTTCCTCTGATTGATGTCACTGACTATGTGTTAAGTTCCTGTTACACAGAGAACTAATATTTATTTTCAGAATATTATCTCCCCTTTTTGCTTTTTTTATAAAAAGTAACTAAATGTTATGTTAGTGTCATTACCATTTGTAGTTCACTCCAGAAAAAATAATTACTATGAGTTAGTAATATGTATTTTATATATGTATATACACATATAGATGTGTGTGTATACATATATAAAATCTTAAGAATTAGAAAAAGAATTTTATATGATGCTGGTATAATGGGCTCACATATAGCTAATAGTATTTGAACACTTTTAATCTCCTTTGATTTGTTTTTTTTTTTAATTAAAAAATTGATATAACAATCAATGGAAACCAACATATATCAAAATGTTTGCCCATTTGTGTATGTCATCTACTAATACACAACTTAAGGATTTCTGATACGATGGTCCCATTTGCTAGTTGTTAAATATCTATTTGGTCAATATATCTTGGGCACTCAATACTCTAACATTCAATGACAATGAAAAGGTAAGCCAGTCATCACCCTTTAGAAACAGAGATATAGCCATTGATCACTTTTAATGCTGCCACCATAAATGCAAGTTAGAAAATTTGCTGAATTTTAAAAATATGCAGAAGAATTTCCCCCCAGATTAACTACTACTTATATCTCAATCCCATTTGTCCTAACAGCAATAGTAACTGTTAATCAAAATGACTGTTTACTACATTGGGATATCCCAAAATTCATTAACTACCTTGAGGGCTACTATTAAGTCAATTCAAAATTTTATACACCTCCTATTTATTTCCATTTAACAATTTATGAAGCACTAATTTTTGCACTCCTTCCTCTCCTTGCCTCTTCTGCCTTCTTAATTTTACTTTTTTGTTGTTTATTTATTTGTGTGTGTGCACGCACATGAGTGCACATGGATGAAGGTGTGTCTGTATGTTTGTGTCCTTTATTCCAGACAAGCCATCTTCTCTGTTCTCTAACACTGCTGTATACTGGGTAGCATTTTTGTTTTGTTTTGTTTTTAATGTTTTTTCACTAAGAATAATGAGAGGGGATGGGAAGTGTTGATTATATGCCTTTCAAAATCAAGGCAAGTTAAAATGATTCAGTCAGAAAAATATAAGTTTATGTATCCCAGTGACATATCAGTAGCATTCCTCACTGTCTACTTGTGAGGTATCATATTTTACCTTTGTCTTTAAGGGAACATAAGTCCATTATTGTTTAAAGTATGGATTATGAGCCAGATTCAAATGAAAAAGTGAAGTGTGAGATAACTTTTTAGAAATTATTGATAGTGAAATAAATAAAATGGCATCCATAAGTGCAGCACCATCTGCTATAAACGATTGTGTGTGCAAGTGCGCATGTGTTTAATTATCTTTAAGTTCAGCTTTTGGCTGTATAGAGCTTTAACTTAAAATGGTATGTTTATTATTTTTAAGTATATATATATGCATATATATATACACATGTATATGTATAAGATCAAAGATACATGTTAGGGTTCAATCAGTTTAATATGTTTTCAGCTTTAAATCAAAAAGTGTGTTTGGGTAAAGCAAATCTCATAATTTCTAAATATTTTTACTCCATAATGTACCAAATAGAAAATTTTAAAGTGAATCTCTAGGAGATTATAAAGATAGTTATAGTGTTTATTTTCTCCAACACTTTGGGGAGAAAAGATACTATAATTAAAATAAAAGTTGGCTTCCTAGTCACAGGTTTATTGAGCATGTATTCTTGTGTTACACAAAGATCTTTGATGTTTTGAAATGTTTGCCAAAGGCAGTGAGAAATGTATAATGCTATGATCTTATTTTTAAAAGGAAAAAAGAAAATGGAAAAGAGAACAAGTTGCTTTTTCAATTCATTTTCTGATGTTTACATGTAGCTCCATCGAAAGCTGGAGGAGCTCAGAGATCACCTAGAAGGCAATGTGAAAGGATACTCTCTCAGAGTAAATGTACGATTTCACTCGGTGATTTTTTTTTTCCTAAACTTCTGCTGACTGGTAATTCCAAATCTGATTGGTTTGTCCTCTCATCTCCATCTTTTTTACTTTCTGTCTCTTTTCTCCCTATCTCTTTCTTTCCTAGCTGTAGCTTCATGCTCACATTTATGAAATAAAGATTAAATTGGCAGGAAAGAGGACACTTAAGCCACACTAGCATTGCAGTTGATTTAATAACTTTATGTCTCCAGTGCAAAATAAAAATTTTCTTTTCAAAATCTGTGTTTCTTACACAATTGTTTAATTTTCTGAGAATGTTTTCATGAGACTTCACTTGGAGCTTTTCCATTGACCATGTCTTCTGCCCCTTGTTGGATTTGTCAGCAAGACTATAAATTATTGGCTGGATCCAAATGATAGAGCCTTGATGATTCAATTCCATTTGTCAAGGAAAATGATCAATGTTAGAGTATCATCATAATCTAGCAAATAGACACATTTTTCTAAGTTAATAGACTTCTCTTAACTCAAACTCTTTGGGAATAGCTAAAAGATTCTTTTGTTTAAAAAAATTAGGCAGTAAGCATCTTCAATGTCATATAACATCGTATAAATACTTGAGATAAAGGCTAATTTACCCAAGACAACACTTTGAAGGAGAACAATACCTTATAGCTACTCAATACTGTACATGTGTCAGATAGGCAATACTAACAATCATATTTTTTGTGACCTATAGAGCTCAGACTCAGAATGCTTCATCCTTCTCCTGAATATATCTTTTCAAGAGAAATGGAAATAAAATCTCTAAAATGGTATATGGTATAAATATTGCAGAAGAAAAGCAAAATTATTACAGTAAATAATTTCTCACTCTGTTTAGCTCTGACATCCCATTCTTGGGGCTTTTTAAAAGTTTCTATCAATCCTAGCCTGGATTTACTTCTCTCAAGATTATTGCCATACCTTTAATTCATATTGCTATAATAGTTTTGTTATAAAGAGTAATAGTAATACAATAATTCTCTGGCTTCTCAGCTTGTTTTTAATTATGTACCATACATAGTTATTTATATCTCCATATAAACTTCTGATTACTCAAGTCCAAAGTTGTTTTTATAGTATTAATCATTAAATTCTGATTGCAGTTAATTCAAGTGTCTTGCTTTTCTGTTTTCTTGTGACACAGTCCTTCTTTTCTATGAATATTCTTACAGAATTTGAAAGATCAACCATAATCACTTCCAGAATTATTCCACTATCTTAAAAAGAAGATTAGTATGAATTTTATGATTAAATCAGTCTAAACATACCTGAGTATTATTCTAGAAAGCCCTAAAGAGATTCTGACAATATTAGTAAATGTATTTTGTGTCATACTCTCTGTAACCAACCATGAGAAGTGATGGTGGTTTTTTTTCCCTATCAAACCAAAACTAGAAAGTTAAGACTTCTTAAGATCTATATGGAAGGGATTTATGTTATATTAGGATTAAAAGTTTTGTGCTTCAAAGATTAAGTTATATACATGCCACTTTTTAATTTCTTTTTTTAACACCTGTACTGCATGGTACAATATGTAATAAGTAGTAAGCCCAATGTCTTCATCTTTTGTTTCATTTTGCTGGGTCACACTTTGTTCTGATTATCTTTTTTTCTAAAAAGATTGAATATTAGGTAAATCATTCTAAGATTCCCTTTAACTAGAAATGTATGGGGAGGAAAACTATCAAAAGGCAAATTGTATCTTCGGTAGAGAGTTCAGCTTAAAGGAGATGCATATCAAATATTTATCTGAGTGTTCAGTTTCTCCCTTTCCTTTTAATTCCCATTACCCCAGAATGCCTTAAAATAACCCTTTCATGTTAACAGTTTTTGCTTAGAAGCAGAATAAAGTTATTCTCAGTTCCATAAGCTATATAAACAGATTTTGTTTCTAAAATGAGATGAATTGGCATATAATGATGATTCTATTTTACAAAAGTTTATTGTAGGCATCTATATACAAGAGTAAGTATGTGAGTGTCTTTTAACTCATTAAAACATTTCTAAATAGTTCAATAAGATGAAAGATTAAAAACCATGTTTGCACTTAAGTGTTTTATTTAATAGTTGGAAAATGGACATCATTCAAATGTCTGGGATAAGGATTTAATTAAATCATTAATACTTCAATGGGTATCATATATATGATATATTGTTCTTTAGAGAGAAAAGAATCCTGCATCCTTAATTATTACTGATAATCAGTGATATAAAGTAGAATATTCTAAGATATAATTTTTGGAATAATAAACTTTATGTACTTTTCATATGAAAATATACTTTATCCTATATTGGCACTTTTATAGCAAAAAGTGGGATATGTCAGATTCTTGAATTATAAATTAAAAATGTATCATCATTTTCTATACATGGTACAAAGCAGAAGTATGCTGAACCCCCAATGAGTTTTTAGTAATTTTAATAACAAAACTGTCATCTTGTGCCTTTATAAATTATCTTATAAGCAGAGTTTGCCTAATTTAATGACTTCAAAAGTTACTACAAATCCTTAGACTAATAATGTGTTGAGAATAATGACTAGAAAATAACACCACATAAAGGAAACAATTATCTTTACATTGAAGAAGGTGTGAGATAGATTTTTTTAAAAAAACATCTCCACAATGGAATATTACTCAGCCATCGAAAAGAATGAAATCTTACCCTTTACATCGACC